ATGAGGAGGTACTAGATATACTAGATGGTAGTACAGCCATGAGGAGGTACTAGATGTACTGGATGGTGGCACAGCCATGAGGAGGTACTAGATATACTGCATTGTAGTACAGTCATGAGGAGGTACTAGATATACTGGATGGTAGTACACCCATGAGGAGGTACTAGATGTACTGCATGGTGGCACAGATATGAGGAGGTACTAGATATACTGGATGGTGGCACAGATATGAGGATATACTGGAAACCACTGACTGGCAAGAATAAGACGGGAAATTCTATGAGATGTCAGCTACATCTAAAATGTTTTCAAATATGATACTGGCTATGTTCTTCAACTCTTAAGGATGAGGAGGAGAAAAAAATAGAGATCAGAGATATACTGATAGACCAAGAACAACTTGAAGTTCATGTCTGTCTCCTAATTGTTCACTGGAAGCTCCGAGTTATTACACAGAGCTTTCCCCAGTAAAAGGAAAAAGGAAGAAATAAAGATGGAAAATAGAAGGTGAGAGAACGTCCCCTGGTTCCGCGCCAGCGTACTTGGAACAAAGGAAGGACAGTAGCATCAGGGAAGACTTCTGGTACAGCCTGACCACCGTCTCATTCAGTGGGTCCTTGTTCTTGTCCAGCCAGCCGGTGATGTTGTAGTCCACTGTGCCGGCGTAGTGCACCAGCGAGAAGTGGGCCTCAGGCTTGCCTTTAACAACCTTGGGCTTCTGGAAGTTTTTGGACTTGCCCAGGTGCTGTTCGTACAGCTTGTTCTTGAAGGAGATGTCTGTGGCCTTGGGGAACATGCACGCCTCTTCCAGGATGGAGAAGATGCCCATGGGCTACGAGGAGGATAAGAGAGACTATGTCTCAACATGTAATCGTATCTATCAATGATGGAGGGAACCATCACAGGTGGTACAGTGATTAAAAAGTGCTCAATCGATAACCTATGAACACATCCATTGTGCCCAGAAAGATGTGGTAGCCTGCTTCTGTAAGACATTGGAAATCCTATGGGGCAGTTCTACTCTGTCCTGTAGGATCTCTGTGAGTTGGAATTGACTTGAGGGAAGTGGGTTTGGTTTGAGTTTATCAATGTTCAAGGGCAATGGTGTTTCA